TCCCTACAAGCTGTCCGTGAGTAATTTTTCGCTAAAATTGATGGTTTTCCCTGCAAAGTGAAAAAACTGTTTTCCTCAATTATTTGTTTAAATAGAAAAGTTAGCTAATAAAAGTTTTTGACTCACGAGACGAGAGATGTCTTGTATTATGTTCCTTTAGACAATTTTACAATAATCTAGCGGATAGGACTTTTTTCGAGTTTCTCTTTTATTTTCGCTAATTTTCCTGGTGTATTTGTGCCCTGGCACCCAACACAGTCTGACTGTATTATTGGTGGCCAGTTCAGTCAGCATATGTAAACAATCCCACACCAGTTTTGAACTTATCTTGTGTGCACCTAAAGCTTTATGAAGCACTACAATTATTTTGAGCTTCCCTGTATACCCCTTCATTTTTGACACGACCTTTCCGAACACCCTGTATATAGAAGATTCTATATAAAATAAAATTTCAATCGCGAATAAATTGTTACCATCTTCAGCAGAGCCTATGGAACTTGCCAATAATACAAATAATAATTTATTAATTAATAAATTAATAATTAATTGAATATAATACCAAAAACTCGTATTTAATTATAAAAGCGACTTTTTGCTTTTCAAAGAGTAGTGGTACCTACCTATTTTAAATGCTACTACAGCTTTGAAAAGCTCGGAAAGATATGGAATTAGTAGGACGACTTTATAGAGACAAATAATGTACTTCAGTAACAAATATAAACTTCTTGTTTCCCACTGCATCGCTGACAAGATCAGTAACAAACTTGATCCAACGAGTGCTCCTCCTTTCCAAGAAAAAGATGTTTTCTTTTCATCATTTATTGAAATAAACCATACATTTATTTGTCTTAGAATATACCTACCAACAGATAATTATATACTTAATTTGAAGAGAAATATACATTTACTAAATTTATTATTGTATTAATGGTCCTTCAATATAAAACAGTACATATTTAACAAATATTAAGGATTAAAAGATAATTTTCAAAATACTAATAGCTAGTACTGCGAGTACGGAGGTCCTCAGATTTATTGCAGAATTACAGATGTTAGTATCGCAAAAGGAGCACGTTCGAACTTTTCCATAGCCGCTTATGATGTTGGATAAATACGTACAGGTGTCCATGCCCTTCAGATTTTTCGGCATGCAGCTTCTGATGGTCATATTTGTTTGATGGACAGCTGAAAATCAAAAGAAAAACTTAGTAGACAAAAACAATTCTTGTTCCAATTGTTGGGGATTAAAAGCGCGGCTTTATTAACTATTTCCAGGGAGTAAAATGTCACTTTGAATGCATTCGCGTCAAATTTAAAAGAAATGAATATTTATTTATAAGTGCAGTTTATTTATTTTGTGTACGTAACAATAAAATTACAATAAAAAATGAATAAACATCCAAATAAAAGTATGAATTACGATAAACAAAATGCAATGTATTTTGTTGCGTATCTATGTGTGTTGTCAATGAACAATTGCATAAATAATAAAACAGCAATAAAAAAGAACAAAGTAGCTAAAATACAAACAATTAATTTGATAAAAAGTATATATCAATCAATTACTTAAAAAATATATACAAATCATTTAAAACAAAATATGAAAATGAATTCGGACAAACAAAAAAGTCACTGAAAAACAAACAGAACAACTGTGAGGGCAGATAAATGGTTTCTAGAGAAGAATTTAATATATCAATTTATCATAAAAAATTATCAATTGATGAAAAGGTCATTAAAACAATATTTAAATATAATATTTAAAAAAACAAACATATCAAAATTATTAATTAAATTGCTGATCTAGCCTACACAATCAAACAAGTAAATATAAAAGTATGTATATTTAAAAGAGGGAAAAATAGCTGCCTTTTCCAGTGAGATAAAACCACCGCCATATAATTAAATTCATCGTGTAATGAATTGAGTCAAATTTAAGAATCAAATTTAAAAAAATTTAGATTACTTTTCCTTTAATATAATTTTGTCTATGAAAAAACTTTAATATGTGTGGTCGTCTTCAAAATAAATATTAAAATATGTGTACCTAGGTCTCTGGAGCTGCCAGTTTATAGTAGGACAAAAAATAAATTAAAAAACTATGAAAAACAAGAAAATTATAATATACTACTGGGTGTTGTCATTTGATTACCACTTGCTTGATAATGCCACTGTAGATTGTACTTGAATTTTTTGTTTTGGCTGTGTTGTATCCGACTTTTTGTCTATAGAATTATTATGTGACTTTATATATAACATCTCGATAATCAGTGCTTGTTGTTAATTAAATCATTAAAATTAAAATTATAACTGTATATGAAATAATAGAATGGCCTTTTTTCTTTTTGTTTAAGATTACAAGGTGATTTGTCAAAATCAATAACATTGAATTCCATAAACTAAATGACACAGATGTTGTTTTTTAATTTAGGTATATTTTGTTGAAGAAAAATAGGATATGTCAGTAGATTCACTAAATAGTATTTGTAAAGGTGTTTGAACCGTTGCAAGACGCAGAAGCAATCTGAGTCTCAAATTTATATATGTATTTTTTTCAAATTGGTATCAATAGATCCCTTAGATTAATTAAGGCAGTTTTGTATATAGTCCAGGCGATAGAGCAGTAAAAGTAAGCTTTGGCGTTTGTGTTTGAAGTTATCTATTTGGTTGTACAGAAAAATCCCAAATATTATGTAGAATAAGAATCCGAGTTTGCCTATTCCAAAAAACCATTTTGCTAAATTCAGGGAAACAAGAAACATACAAAATGAATGAAAAATGACCCATTTCTCGACATATTTTTCTCTGTAACATTGAAAGTAAGCCCTAAATAAAAAGAAAAGTCATTCTTTACCTTTTCTTTATTTGACAATTTTCTATTTTCTAAGTTACAACAACTGCGAATCAAAAAAGTTGAATTTTGAATTAACAATGGGTCGTCATATGTATATTTGGAACAATTTTTAAAATAAGTAAATATTTTTAAATATTGATGAAACTTTGTGAACAAATAGTAACATATGTTAATTTTTCGATCGACAGGATTGTTAATTAAGAAAATTTTAAAAAGTTTATCGCGTACCGTGGGTTTAAATTAAGGTTTAGTGTGCCCTATGCACACCATTTTTTAGAGATACCTGTTGTCATAATAAACAATGATCAATATTAAAAAATACCTATTTTTACACTTTTGTAATCATTTAGAATTTATCGATTGCATAGAAAATTCCCTGGGCAATAAATAATTGTTTATAGAGCAAAATGTTGAAAAATTAAAAAAAAATTCTAAATGGTTATAAAAGTGTTAAAATAGGTATTTTTAATATTGATCATTGTTTATTATGACAACAAATATCTCTAAAAATTGTGTGACCTTTCTAAACCTTAATTTAAACTCACGGTACGCGATAAACTTTTTGAAATTTTCTTAATTAACAGTCCTGTCAATCGGAAACCACGCTATCGATAGTTGCAAAATTTTCAGGGTAGAATTGACATATGTTTTACTATTTGTTCACAAAGTTTCATTAATATTTATAAATATTTACTTATTTTAAAAATTGTTCCAAATATGCATATGATTTTCTACTATTTTTCGCCCATTGTTATACAAAATTCAATTTTTTTGATTCGCAATTCTTGTAACTTTATAGAAAATCGTCAAATAAGCAAAAAATAAAGAATGAATTTTTTTATTTAGGACTTACTTTCAATGTTACAGGGAAAAATATGTCGAAAAACGGGTCATTTTTCGTTCTTTTTGTATGTTTGTTGTTCCCCTGAATTTAACGATGGTTATTTGGAATAAGCAAACTCTGATTCTTATTCTACATAATATTTGGGATTTTTCTGTACAACAAAATAGATTACTTGAAATACAGTGTGGCAGATTTATGCTGGGACCGAATATTTTTAAATCCAATTGTTCAATAAATACATAATAATAACAATTGAATCTACTTTCTCTAGAAATAAATCCACTCTGTATATTAAAGATTCATTTTAGCAAATGTAGTAAAATTCCCATTTAAACTAGTAGTAATGGTTACGAGAATAATATTTATTCTACGATTTTAATTTAAACTAAACTAAAATTATCTTTAAGCATATATTTTAATTTATTTTCTATTCAAAATGCAATTAATATGTTATGCATATAATATCTAATATTTTCTTATATTAAATCAACATGCAAAAGGGTAGTACATATACTAATTGAGTTAAGAATTTAGGACACATAAATATTAAATTTTAATAATTTTTTAATATTTTCTATTACAAACTTTTGTAATTTTTGTTTAGTTCTATTCAAACTGATATTAGCTAAAACTGAAATAATGGCAATTTCAGGAATGAAAATGAAACTATATATTTTTTTGAGGTGTAAAAAGCTAATAACGCGAATGACACATTAAAAGTTAAAAGCTGCCTTAAAACTGTCGATGGACTTTTAGTACAAACATCCTAGATTTACGAGGAAATTAAATTTTACATAAAATTCCGTATCTAGCAAGCATTATACTAATATTTATGTTGGCAGCTGTTTTCACAACAATGTTTTTTGATTTCCTGCATATACCATTTTCATAAATTACTTGTATTACATGGCATTTACTGGAAGTGTAATTGGAGATCATTACTTTAAATAAATATAATATTAATTCCGTCTGTAATGAGTTCCGCTGGCAAACGTAATAAATCGGTATTTATATAGAGACCTCCGATATTAAAAGCACGACATTTATAACTAATGCAGGCTTAAAAACATCGTACTACGTCTAAGTAATGGTGCAATAAATTATATATTTCCTCCTGCTCCGTTAATGCAACGGTTATACTGGGCATTTCAGGACAAGGTACCATAATTAAACTATGAGTAATAGAACATTATAAATCGATAGATGGATGTATAATAGTTGTTTATTGTACTAGAACTAAATCAGAGAGTAATATTTAATAGAGTGAATTAATTTCACGAGGTAATAATATATTTTATCCACAATCACCTTATAATCGGACTTTTATCCACACATATGAACCGTCTAAAGTGATACTTTATCCACTAGTGGAATAAATAACTTCATTTCACTAGTAGAATAATGAAAAAATAATAAACCTATAATAAATCAAATTTAATTTATATACTTATTAACACTAACTTTTACATTTATACTAATAGACATTTCGTTTTTTTTTGTTTTATCAGATTTAACTTCCTTTCCGTTAATAATAACCCTTGTACCATTGTTGCCATGCTTGTTATATTTTCCTATATCTATATTTTTGTGGATCTTTATAGTAGCCTTCAACATCGAATAGTTCGACCAGATAGATGCAATTGCATATTTTTTCTTAAAATTTAAAAAATACGATAGCATGACTTCATTTATTGTCATTACTCTTCGTTTTTTCCTCCAAATAATTGATAATAAACAACGTACCGTAGCAACCAGGTACAACAAAACCTACCACGTTTCATTGAGCACTAGTAAGAAATATCAAGTCGTGCGCATATTCCAATAATTCTGACTCCACAAATATGAGTGCGATGTGACTATGGATAAAACGTTGTATTGCATTCGTGTTTTAATTGCCTTTTATCCTCTTAATAATTCTTGAGTGGATAAAATGCTACTTAAAACACTTATACAGTAAATAACTATTATTGTGTATAATTTTCAATTATTTTCTACATTTTGAGTGACATAAGGGCTAGTATATTATTATTATGTGACAACTAGCTTTTCCTAGCAATTATTTACAGAATAATTTTACACTATTTAGACGTTAAACTGTTGATTATATACCAAACGCTATCCCTGTCACAATAAGAAGACGGATCAGAATCCTTTGTCGATTCGACGACAGCCCCGAATTTTCTAAATTTCACGCGACAATATCTTATTTCTGACGGGCGTAATGGAATTTATGGTATCTTATACAGGGCCAATCCCACCTATAAATTTTTTCTGGATTGCTCGTCTAGTTAGAAACGGACACATCGAGTGGGCGCATCATTCCTTTGTTTGGAAGTTGCCGCTTATGTTTTATCGCAGATGATATAGAAATGTGTTTGTGGAAAAAAATGCGGTGCGATGCGGACCAAAATTATGACCAATGGTAGAATATTTGCAGTTTTTATAATTAAAATTATTCTCTATAGGTTATGTAGTAGTTATTACAAT